AATAAAAAACAGATCAACAAAATTACATTTATATAAAGAATACATACTTTTTAAATAAAAAATAAGAATGTACTAATAAAATCTATAATTTATAATAAACTTTTAAAATTTTGACAATTTAATTAATATATATTTAAAACATTTATTTTTGTAAACAATTAATATATATTCTTAAAACGATTTATGCTAGAAATCTGAAAACGTAACAAATAGTGAATAATATTATTTCTAAAATATTTCAACAGAATGCTCTAAAACTTTATTTCGCTTAGTCAGCGTATTTTTTGAACCAATAGAAGTAGTTTGTTTGTTAATTTGGCGGGTTTTTAGTGTTCGCTAATATTCTTTTTATTCTTTCGCACCAAGATGTTTTGAGAACATTCAAGTTTTTTATGTTTCCATGTATGTCCACAAAACAAAAATTTTTTGTTTCGTAAATAAACTTAAATGTTCTCAAAACGACTAAAAAACCTGGCCAGTTTTTCGCAACTAAATATAATTTCCGTGGTCAGTATTCGAGAGCAATTGCTCCCGCTTCCCGACCAAGCCTGTTTTGCTTTTTTTTATAATTATTGAATAACTCTTTTGCAAGTATTTTTATTCATGTTTCTTTTTCTCAATAAGATGATATAAAATTTCAATTAAAAGAATTTATTTGATTGTTAAATTTTTGGCTGTGTAATGTTTTTTTTGTTTGTTTTTTTTATCATAATGCATAAAAAAATTTAATTTGCTTTTAAGTAAAGAAAGTTATGGGTTAAAAATTGAAACAATGGTCTTAAGAGTTGAATGAAATATGCTAATTGTTAACTTGAATAGGGCTTTCATTAAATGTGTCTAAACTAACCTGTGAATTTCTTTAAATTTATTGTATAAATTTTAAATCAATTATTATCAAGTCTATTTTCATATAAAATATGTCTCGGAAAAACTTGCATGCAAAGAAGAAATATATTATTTTTTCAAAAATTAAGAAAGTGCAATGTCTTCTTTTTTCTTGTTATTATAAAATAAGAAGAAAAAAAACATTTCTTGATTTTAAACAACAAAAGCTGTATGTTTTGTTTGGTTTTTATATGTCAAATAGTTTTAAAATTAAACTTTTGCTGCATTTTATTATTGAAAAATGAAACATTTTATTTATTAAGATAACTCTAACCAGGGGTGTATAAACTCAAACTATTTTAAAATTTTATAGTTATGTGGTTTTTTGTTGGTATTATGTTGTATCTAATTTCAGGCCTTGTTTTAAATGAATAATGCTTAACACATTAGCCTAATGTAAATTTGACGTCAATTCTCTTTATTTTTTGATTTTTTAAAGGCATTAAATTTTTTAAATATTAGCGATAATATTAAGTAGCTGTCCGGATCTGTAAACTACGGGTCTTGATAAATCTATTCCATACCGCTCTTTTTTTTACCAAATAAATCTGTAAAATTTGTTATAATTTACATAACTTGAAGTTAAATATCTAACATGTAAATGTTAGATATTTGCATAGACAATGTTCACATAGACAAAAAACAAATCATTACAGATTGCAGTTTCAAAAAAATGCCTAATGACTTTGTAAAATAAAAGATATTTTTATTTACACATTTATAACTAAATTAGCAAAAGAATTTTCAATAGTTTTTAATTGTATGTCTATTGAACAAAAACATCATCTAATTAATCTAAAAAAATTAACAGAATTAAAACAAAGGAAAAAATACGCCACATCTCTTAACTGGAAATCAATTTATTTATACATAATAACAAAACAAAATATATCAATTTACCTGTTGCTGATGGTTTTTGTCGAGCATTGTTAAAAATAATCAAAATCTAAAAGAAAAGACATTTATTGCAAAGACACAAAATAACAAAAACGTAAAAGCTATCAGAAAAATCATAATAAAAATCTGGTGAATCTACCACTTGCAAAAAGTGTGGTGTAAAAATAATGTGCAAAAGATTTTTTACAAGCTAGATCCTTCGTCATTTAAAAAACGCATACAAAGGAATGGATTTAGATATGAAGTGTATGCATGAAAACACTGGATCAGAAATAGGAAATGTGCAAAACAAATCATGTTTGTTAAACAGCAGGCTATTGAGGAAATTGTTTCAAAGCTAGCAACGGTAATAAGTTCTGTAACAAAAAGTGAATTCATTAGAAAATTATTGTCAGAAAAAGACATAATATTACCCAAAAATCCATCCTATGTTATGAATATGATTAAAAAAACAATATGATTTAGCCAAACAAAGTGTTAATTTAAAAATAATGAAAGAAATATCTAGCGGGTCATGATTTTCTTTATTGTTAGTCATATCGTTAGAAATCAACATTATTTAAATATAAATTTATACTTATCAAAAAAGTTTAAATTTATATTTAAATAATGTTGATTTCTAAAAATCTTTCAAATGTACGTAAAATGTAAGTTTCGTAAAGATATTAAGCTAATGTTGGATGTAAAAACAAGGTGGAATAGTCTTGTTACAATGTTAGAGAGGTTTTTTAAAATATAAAATATGTATATTTAAAGCAATGATTTATTTATAAGAAATTTTCAATATTTCCAAAGAAGAATATGTGATAATGAATTAGAGGTGTGCCGGAACCAGAAAATGCTTAGTCCCCGATTCCGTGGTAAAAACTGGGTCCGAGACCAAATACCCGATCTTGGACTCGGTTAGTCCATTAGAAAATTTAAGGATAATAAAAATTTAATCAAATCATAAATAATTTAGACAATACTTTTTTGCTACATTTCATTTTAATTTCTTTTATAATTTTTTATTTGTGACAAATGAAAGACGTTATTAGCGTTTGAAATAAGTAAAAAGTAGACTATCAAATAATTTTTCGGACAATAAATGATTGAAAACTTCATTTGAACCAAATTTAGATTTTTAAAAACAGCTAAAAAATAATTAAAACTCTAAAACTATGAAATATTTCTTTGGTTTTAGATATGGTAGATAGCTTGCTTCAGAAACAAGAGAGAGTGCGGCCTCTCTCGTTTCTAAGGACAACGCCCCTCCTCCTTTTTTTCTTTTAAAAGAAATGTTTTTTTTTAAAAATGTTTTTTTTTAAAAAATTGTTTCAAATATGTAAAACGTGAAACATAAAGTAGGTATTAAAAAAATTAACTTTTTTATTTATAAAATAATTTAGCTTAGATTAAACTAAAACTTGCAAACTTTGATAAATAAAGAGCATTTGTTTCCTTTTTAAACAATCGTAAGATGTTACTTTATATGAAAAACGTCACTTAATTTTATAAAAAAGTTATAAACGAGTGATGTTTCAAAAATATTTGTTCTAAACGTAATATATTTTCCTTTAAGTTTTTTCATGTTAAAAGATATGTTTTCCTAATTTTTTTTTGTTGTTGTTGTAATTGTCTCTCATCAGTCCAATTAATCTTTTTTGAGCTTTTTTTTTTGCTTTTGAAAATGTTCTCAAAACAACTAAAAAATCTGGCCAGCTTTTTGCAACTAAATATTATTTCCGTGAACTGCAATCGAGAGCGATCGCTCTCGCTTTTTGACCAAGTCTGTAATATGCATAAACCTAAGAAGCATAAGTAAAAACTTCGACTAACCAAAGGTTTTTTAATTTAAATGACTTAATAATTATTAACTTATTATTATTGATATCGCTTTACATAAAATAATATTTTAAAAAATTGGTATTGCATTTTTCATATTCTATTCGAGATTACTAGTTAAAATAATTTTTATATTAAGTAATAAAACCTTATCATATGTTAACAACATAAGATATAAATACAAACATTTTGTATGGCTAACTTTTGATATCAAACAAATTAATTAGTTGAGTAACTTAACCGTAGTAACTTACCTGGTTGTTTTGATTTGGTTTATAAGTAACATATTAAAGATATACTTTATCATGTTTTATCCATTAAGTATATCAAACTTAATATAACTTAAAAATACTATTGGATTCTATGCAGAAAATTAAAGTAATTTAAATTCAACTTTATGTTGAATAAAAATCTCTGAGCAAGAGTGATCATACTTCTATTCAAAAGATAAATTTAGCGTGACATAACTTTATGACCTCAAATAAAAAACTTAGATAAAAACATTTCTTTTAAGTATGGTAAAAAAATATATGCAAAATTAAAAAATAAAAAAAATAATGAAAAAATAAAAAAAAAATCAAATTTTGAAAATATTTTTTTTTAAGAAAAAACTAATTGCAAAGGTGTGAAAATCAATCTTGATTGAAGATCTAGATTTAAAAAAGCAATTAAATAATCATTTAAAAAGCTTTTTAAAAATATTTAAAATATAAGTAATCATCATGATTTCAGGAACACATTTTTTTGAACTTTTTTTAAATTGTTAATAAATTTTAATCAGTAGTATTTATTTATTGAGCATATTTCATTTTCCTCAAATAAAATAGATTTCAAATTACATAAAGTTTCTTTAAAAAAAGTTTCTTAAAAACAAAATATTTGATTTGTACATATTTAAATACAAAGCTTAAAAGTTCTCTACAATATTGAGAAAAAAAGCATAAATCTTATACAAGTAAAAAAAAAAAAATTAAAGCTTTAACTTCTATTTCATTTTACTTTAATCAAAATCCTATTATAGATGATTTCATTCTTTCAATTTTTATGTATATCAGCAACCATGTTAAAATTTGAAAATAAAATCAGCAAAAAAAAGTCATTAAATGTTGAACTAAACATTTTACAAAAATATGTACAATTGAGAGTGTAAGATCGAAATAGTTTTAATATACAGATTCTTGCCCGTCTTTGCCATTGTTTATATACCATTTTAAATGCTAATTAAAGTTATTTTTTTCACTTGAAAAGAAAAAGTTTTTTTAAAGGGTTTATAAATATTATCTTATGTTTTCGAATGTCAAAGCTGATTATTGACCATTTTGATTTATTAAATTATATATAACTTAAGTTTTAAATTATATATAATTTAGTAAATAAATTATATAATAATTTAGAGTTAGTTGGGGATATCCTTGAACAACGACCAAAAGAAAGTGATAGTCTTGATACAGTTATAATTGTAGACAATGTCCCAATTGTTGGACCTGATCGTCTTGAGAAACTTAAAAGTATGATTCATAAAGTTTTTTCAAGCTTTGGAACCATTGTGAATGACTATTATCCAGAAGAAAATGGAAAAACTAAAGGGTAACGAAATTTATATTCAAAATCATAAGCAAAGTTTAAAAATGAATTTAAAAAATTGTTATAGATATAGTAAATATTGTATATATTATAGATATAACAAAGAAATATATTATAGATATAATAAAGATATATATATATATATTATAGATATAATAAAGAAATAGTAAAAGTTGTTTTTATCTTATAATCTTTTTTTTAATATAAAAATTAAATAACTAAAAAATAAATGGTAAAAATGTTAAGTAAAATTTGGTAAAACCTTTTATTATAAATTGTTTACTTATAAGGATAAATAAAGGAATTTTGAAATTTGATTCATAGCAATCTGTATATCACATATTATTGCAAAAGGTAAATGTTGTAATAGATGTAAATTTATATCGCAATATTTTTAGCAGAAAATGTTGAGATATAAATTTAATTTACTGCTCAAGTTATATCTTAGCATAGCATTGTGGAAATCATAACATTTTTACAGGTGGTAGAATGCATGTTTGAATTCCGAAGAAGGATTTTGAAATTTTACATTTTAGTGCACATATATTTATCTGTTTTATAAATAATTATTGTCTACTAATTACTATTTTATTGTTATTTTTAAATTTCATTTAATTGATGCACCAGGGTATATATACATTGATTGATATAGCCTATAGCTATATCAGTTAATGCTTACAATACAGCGAAGCGTATATCAGTCAATGCTTAGAATACAGCAAAGCGTGCATGCATCAACAAATAAAGCCATAGGCGAAGTGGAGTGTACATATATTAGTAAACATTAGTACAAATTAAGTAAATATTTAACTCAAACTTATGCTTATAAAAATTTTATTTTGACTTTTAAATATATCTAATATCTTTATTTTGACTTTTAAGTATATCTAAAACTTGAAATTTATTATTTAGACTTTTAAGTCATTTTTTGACTTTTAAGTAGTATCTAAAAGTGTAATGCACTACCTCCTACAAATTTGAAAAATATATTATTTTTGCTTCTCAACTTCTTATTTATTATTTGCATTGATCTTGTTTCTTTTTTTGCTATTTTTTATTGATCTTGATATATAAATTTCATGTTCACTTCTTTTTTTCCATCATTTTATGATCTATTAATTAAATAAGTTTTTTTTAAATCACGTTGACTCCCAACAAGACTGAAAGCAACCACTAGTTAAGTTAAGACTTAAAAACACAAAAAAGAGCGGAAAAAAAAGTTTAAAAAACTGTAAATCATCTGAGTCAGGAAAACAAAAATAGGAGAGAGTTCCAAAGCACCTATAGTAAAGGAAAAAAGCTCTTTGCAATTAGTTTTTAAGAAATATTAGATGTTCCATTCTATAAATAAGGAATAACAACTTTAAAACTTATTATTAATTGTTTGTAAAAAACATGAGTTTTTTTTTTCCTTATTGATGTCTCATATCAATTAAAAAAGGTAATATTTAAAATAAATAATAAACTAAAACTTTTTATCATAATTTGTTTCTATAAAATCAAGTATTTATCATTTTCTCCTTTAATTCTGACCAAACATTTCCATAATATGGACCTATACTATCAACCTATATATCATATATCAACTGATGTTGTAACTTTTGTATCAATACTATTAATTTATCAACATCAATCAAAATATGCAAAATATTACTTTATTTTCATTGATTTTAATAAAGTTTTTAATAATAAAAGTAGTTTATTTTTTTTGCTGGTTGTTTATTTTTTTGCAGGTTTTGCTGCTTGCAGAAATAATATGCAATAAATGTAATTGAACTCAAGTTCAACTATTATTTATTCAACTAAAATTTCATCACATTTAATAGATACTATATCTATTAAATGTGATGTAATTTTAGTTTGTTCTGCACTGTTTTTAGTTTAATCTGTTTAATAGTTTTAAACATAGTGAAAATGGTTTGGATGATTTTTAAAATGTTGATATCTATGAAACCAATGTTGATTCTGAAATAAATAAATAATAAAATTGTCTTACAATTATTATAATATAATAATCAAATATAGTTAAATATAGTATATTTATAAAAATATAGTATATTTATAATAATAATAAATGTATAAGAATAATCAAATATAGTTAAAAATAATTATATAATCAAATATAGTAAAAAAAATTTCTTTAAATTTTAAAAATAAATTTTCCAAATTTACTTGTTACTTTTTTTTTAATTTACTTATTAAAAAAATGGCATCTTTTTTAATTTTTAGTTATTTTTTTCTTTGCAAGGCCCCATTGTGCACTGTTGAAAAATTAGCTTGTTGAAAATTTTTTTGAATCAGTTTTATTTTTTTATTGAGTTAAAAATAAAAGTATATAAAAATAAAAAACCATTCTGTAAAAGAGTTTTTTCTTCTTCAAATGCCATTTATGATGTTGATATCTAAATAATGAAAAACATTTATGATGTTGATATCTAAATAATAAAAAACATTTATGATGTTGATATCTAAATAATGAAAAACATTTATGATGTTGATATCTAAATAATGAAAAACATTTATGATGTTGATATCTAAATAATAAAAAAGTTTTACTTTAATATTTGCCAGGTACATTTTTCTTGAATTTCCAAAAGCAGAAGATGCAGCTAATGCTATTAAAACTGCCAATGGGTACCGACTTGACAAAAATCACACATTTGCTGTTAATTCCTTTAATGATTTTGAAAAGTAAGTGGTCCTATATACTTAATATTTTTTTACTTTTTTTTATTTTTGTATATTGATACTTATTATTCAGAGGTTTAATAAATATAAACCTCTCACACATAATTCTTGTGTTATAGTTTATTAGATAGTATTTTTAATTCAAAAGATGCTGACAAGTAAAATCTTAATAGCCTAAAACAAGGGTTGAATTAACGCATCGCAATTTGCGATATCTGTTAAATTATCTGGTCTTCAAAGTTTCAGTTTATGGAAAACCATGAAATTTACGGAATAGGCGAATAAACTTTAATTTGTTAGTGAAAATGTTATGAAAAACAAAACAATAAATTTATGACTACAAAAGTAATAACACTACAGTGTTGTTACTTTTATAACACTCTTTTAAGTTACATTTATAGTTTATTGTTTGATCAAACAACACATAATCAAGATATTATAAATAAAAATGATTTAGTTAAGTAATTCCAAACTTTAATTAAAGTAGTAATGCATCTAAAAAAATACAATGGATATTTAAACAATGTTAAAAACCTCAGCAACTTTTACGAATACATATTTTTATAAACAGTTTAGCATTTCTAAACATATTACAAACGGTCCGGAAAAAATGCGCGTTCACTTTAAAATCAACCAATAAAAACACTGGTAATTTACTTCTTAGGAGAAATCTATATTAAAAGGGGAAGGGGGGGAGGCTAAAAACTTAAATTTTGTTTTATTATTTAATCAATTAAATCATAATAAAAGTAAAGACAAAAAAATATATTTCAAATATACTTCTTTATAACTAAAATTTATTAAATTGAACACCTCTGTTTTTAGTTTTAAGTAAATGTCAGTACTACTCTCAGTGGCGAAACTGCAGGGGGGGTTAGCAGACAAAAAGTTTCCTATTTTTAAACTAATTTTAGGTTGCATGGGCGATATGGGGCTCATTTTGAAAATCATGCAGGGGGGGGGGATTTTGCTACTGACTACTCTAATGTGCTTAATACAAAGGTAGGTGGGGGTGGGAATTTTAGTCAGGATGTATAAAATGGGAGGAGGAAATAATAAAAAAAAGCGGGAGAATTTACAATGAAAGTTTTATTTATCGGTTACCAATATATATATTTTTTAATTTTAAGGCCGATTTTCACTGAATTTTTGTTTTGAGATATAGTTTTTTGTTTATAACAAGTGACTTGTTATAAACAAGTAAAACGATTTTCAAATGAGGTGTTCAATTTAATAAATTTTAGTTATAAAGAAGTATATTTAGAAATAAATATAAAATGATTATAATAAAGTTTTAGACAGTTACAATCCTGGTGTATATTGGTTGTCAAAAAGATTTACTTTATGAAATCAAAATTTAATAAACTTACATTTAATCTAATACTTGTTAAAATTTATATGTGTTTTATGTTAAAAGGTATTTAGTTCCAACAACATTTTTTAATGATTCTAATATACTGAAAAAATATCTTGGTTGAAATTTTTAATAAATTAATTAAAAAAAAAAATTGTTATATTTTCAAATATAAATAAACCAATGAATTTGTAGTTGTTAAAAATTTATTTTTTATAATAATTATTGTTGATACTGAAGATGTACTGTTTTATTGTTACCTTAAAATGTGGTTTTTAATTCACTAGGATATTGCATCTAATGTACACCTTTCTATTATTTTAGTTAAAGTTATTTACTTTTGAACTCTTGGATTATTCATTTTTATCATTATGTTTATAGATACAAAGATATTTCAACTGACTGGGTTCCTCCAGAAAAACGAGTGTTTAACGATTTTGTATGTTTGAAAAGATTTCATTATTTTTTTATTAATACATTTCTTGAATGTTTATACAGGTTGTTTTTTTTTTGTATCTATAGGGAAATTTAAAATCTTGGTTACTTGAACCAGATAGTAATGATCAATATTCAATGATGACTGGAAATGGGGAACGGGTTGTTATTTTACAAAATGGTCCAACTGCTCCAACAGTTATTAAGCAAAGAGATGTGAGTAGAAAATTTTTTTAAATATTATTAGAAAACTATTACTAATAATGTTGAACCTGCAAATGTTTTGAAAAATATCTGAAATGAAATAAAAGTCAAGAAAGATAAAAAGTTTTAAAATTAATTTATTAAAATTATTAGAACTGGACTGAGTCATATGTGATGTGGTCACCTAAAGGAACTTATATGGCTACAATTCATAAGCAAGGTGTTGTTTTATGGGGTGGTGAAGAATTTGCAAGAATCAACAGATTTAATCATACTAATGTTTCCCTGATTGATTTTTCACCATGTGAACGGTATTTAGTTACCTTTTCAGCCAATCATATGAACAATCAAGAACCTGTAAGTATTCTTGTTAAAGATATTGGTAAATATTTTGATAAATACTTTTTATCAAAAAGTATTTATCAAAATATATTGAAAATGAAAAGAATAATCATAGGCTTTTTTAAATTTCCTCCTAATCTATTTTGAAAACATTGAGTTTCAGAATTTTTATATATAAAAATTTTACTTTGATATATGTACATACATATATGTGTGTATAGTTATAGTAAAGGTGTGCGATTTCATGCTTTAATATGATCATGCAAATACTATTTGATTTTGAAAACTAAAAAAAAAAACAACTTATCGAAAAAAAAAGCAAATGAATCTTCGTAAAAAAAATATATAAATAAAAAACGAAAAATAAAAATAACTAAAACAAACAAAAAATAAAATCATAACTAAACTAAAATAAATAATAAACTATAATGATAAGATTATTTAAATTTCGATCATTTAATAAACGCGCAAATTCAAAATTTAAAAAATAGATTCTTAACAAATCTTCTCAGTAATGTAAACAAAAGAAAACATAATTGTTTATTTAAAAAGTTTATATAATTTTTTTTTATTTAAAGACATTTATAGTAAAAAATACAAACTTATTTAAATATAAATAAATAAACATGATATTCATAAATGTTTTTATAAAAAATCATTAGCAGTGATTTGTTACTTTATTTAAATGTGTTTCAATAATATTAAAACATAAAAAAGATCAAAGTTATTTTATTTAGTTAAAATGGATTTCAAATAAGTTTGTCTTTTTTTTTCTCTCAACAAAATCTTTTTTTCTTGTTGAGTGAATTAACTGATGGTTCTCATATAAAGTTTATTAAATGGACCATCGCTGTTTAAAGTCATTATAAAATTAAGAATTTTTATTTTATTTTTATTTTAATTATAAAAAAATCTTATATAATTAAATAATATGAATAAATATTTATACAACTTTCATTGATACTTTAATTAAAATCATTAGTAATTTTATTATACTTTATACAAAATGCTTTTACATTTTGCTTATATTAAAAATATTCGTAAAGATAAACATGGCGAAGTTATTTTCAATGTCATTGAAAACCTTTTTTTTTTAGCGCATTTGTTAAAAACTGTGGTCAAATTCTCAAAACAAAGCATTAACTCCGGCTAGAATTGTTTAGTTTTAGGCTAAGGTTGTAAAAAATACATGAGACTCTGGTATTTTACAGAGTATTAAAGACCTAATACTAGTGTTTTAAACCTGTTGATGGAATCAACCTCTCTAAGTTTCTCAAAAGCAGCAAGGTTTCTCTGTGGTAGCACAGAGAAACCTTGCTGCTTTTGAGAAACCAGCTGGACTCAGAATTATTAAACTGAGTTTTAGAGCTGTACCCTCATTAAGAGCTAGCAAGGAAATTTTAATATTGTACGATTAAAAACTGTGCAATAGCTAATATTTTTACTTGCGATTTTATATAATCTTTTTTTATTTTTATTTTCATAAAGCGGTTGATAAGCACAATCACTAGTATTACTAAAAAACTTTAACGAACGTTTTGAATAGACTTTTAATGTTTACAAGGAATTTTATTTTTGGTAAAATAAAATAAAATGTTAGAATAAAAATCTTATAGGTATAAAAGACATATTTCAGCGAAAAAATTATTCTTAAAAATTATTCGAAAAACTATTGACGTTTTATTTTTCAGCAGCTGATCTTGAGCACGCTTCGTTGAGTTTCGGTAACTTTTAACAAAAAAAGCGATTGTTATTATTTAAGTAATTTTTTTCGAGTTACTTTTTACAAAAATTTTAATAGCTGTACTTTTTTTTATTGAATCAAGTAGAATACGTTTTCTTATTTGCGCTTATCAATTTTAAAAATGTTTCCTCGAAATTACTCTTAAATACTTTAAATACCTCTAACAGTTAATAAATATTTTTAAATCTATGGAATAATTTAAAACCTAACAAACCCCCGTAAAATAATTATTTAAGTTAAATATCTAAAACTAAAAGAAAGTATTTTTGTTCAATTTTATCAACAACTTTGCTATTGCTGAATAATTTTATTAAAATGTTACCTTAAAAAGTTTTAAACTTTTTTTTTAACTGAATTTTTTCTACTTGTAAATAATGAGCATATTTAATTTTTTTGTAAATCAAACTTTTGTCTCAACTGCGTGCGGTTTTTAAAATACTTTATTAAATGTTAAAATAATCGTAAATTACTTCATTAAAATTCCGCTCAAAAATATCTTTAAATATACTCAAACAAAAAATTTTTTGCTCGACGCAAATAGCCCTAGCTACACGCAAAATCGCTCATGGACGACATAAATTCACATCGCCCGACGCTTTATCGCAAGGCCTGTATATATATATATATATATATATATATATATATATATATATATATATATATATATATATATATATATATATATGTATATATGTATATATACATACATAAATACATACGGGCAATTCCACATTGGAAAATGAAAAAGTGGTCAAGTTTTATTATCTTTTTTGTCAACTTTAAGCAAATGAATATTGATGTAGACACATAAAAGTTTATTTAAAGTAAACCTTAAGTACTAAAATTAATTTATTTAAATCATTATGTTTCTGAAAGTTACTCTTTTTCTCATTGTCACACGATAAAAAAAAAGTATTTTTGTAAACTGTTCTAACCATGAATTTGTTTGCATGATCGGAATTAATTTAGCTGAAAATGGAGCTAACATGTTCAAATTGTTGTTGGTCCGATTTTATACCTATAAAATATATATACTTCAACAAAATAACAAGGGAACTTTTGCAATTTTCATGTATTGTAAGTTAACAAAAACATGATAAATTTTTTTTTTCTTTTAATTTAGTTAAAAATTTGAGTTTTTTATTAATATATGCGGTAAAGTATTAAATGTTATGTTTTTAAATATAAAGTTTTGAAAACACTGATTAGTTAAAGCACATTTTTATTTTAAATTTGTGTAACATAAGTTAAAACTGCATGCATTTACGAAAGTTAACAAAGTGATTTACGTAATTAAAGGGATCCCTAGGTGCTCCTAACATATGATCTCATATGGAAGAGCATTAAAAAAAATATATGTAAGTTTTTTTTCTGTTTCACTAAATTGTAATAATAAATGCATGCTAACAAAAAGCAATTGCCAAAATCACTAAAAAACAACTCCATTTTGATTTTATTTTTTTACCATTAAATCTCTATTGTTAGTCGTTAAAAATCAAGTCAGTACGTCACAACAACTTAAAAATATCTACTTGGATTTTCAAGTAAAAAATAGTTGTGATTAAATAGTGAAGTTTTAATCAAGTTTTTTTAATTAGTTTTGCAAAAACAGTATAAAAGAATTCGGTTGAAAGACGTCGTTAAAAAAAAGTTATTAAGTAATAGTTTTAAATAGTTTAAAACTTATTAAAAAGTCTTACAGGGCTCGTATTAAGCGTATCACAATTGGGATTGTTTTTCACACTTTCGCGATTAGTTTTTTCTTAAAGGGATCCCTAAGTGCTATAAAGATATGATCTCATATGAAAGAGCATAAAAAAAAAATGTTTGATGTATATTAATTTTTCTAAAACTAAAAATAATGAACACACTAACAAATTTAATTTTCAAAAAAACGCTTTTCTTGGATTAAAAAAAATGCGTTTTGTCCAAAGTTTATTGACTCTACTGCCTCAAAAAACTAACGTTAGTACGTCAAATTAAACAAAGTAGACAAAATGTCATTATTGAAAACTTATTAGTTGGTAATTAAATTTAAAAGTCGTTTTTTTTTTCAACTAACACATAATTACTTACAAGAATAAGTTTTGTAGCATTTTGTGGAAATATATTTGTATATTAAAATATTTTTTATAATATTAATTTATATATTTGTGTTATAAGGGCAATTCCACGGCTAAAAATAAATAGAAGTCAAATTTTAAACTCTTTTTAGTTAGTTAAAAGCAAATGAATATTGACTTAGATTTATGAAAGTTTATTTAAAATATTTCCTTAGTAAAAAAATAAATTTATTTCAGTAATTTTTATATTTTCAAAAGTGATGGTTACTCTCATTTTTGCTTGATAAAAAAAATAATGATTGTAAAATGTTTTAGTTAAATTAACATTTATGTTTGCTATATTTTTTTGGTTCAAATTGAAAAGGTTGAATAATAGACATTTTATTAGAAATTAAACTAAGACAGGGCTCGAATTAACGCAAAAAAATCTAATCGCGAAAAAAAAATTTTTTTTTTTTTCTAATTTTCCTCCCCTCCCCTCCCCTCCCCCCTTTCACTCTCTTATAGCTCGCGCCGATGTGCGGTAATGGGGGGAAAAAATTATCATCAATATATCAAAAAACATTGTCAAAAACTTTAAAAAAAATTACATACCACGTTTTTAATAATTTATTGATTCTTGAATAAAGGACTAATAAAAGTTTAAATATAATTAAGTTTTTGATTTAAATGGTTGATATTTTTATTTCATGTTTTCCAATAAAAGATAAAACAAAAAAATTTGGTTTAATAAATCGAATTATACTTCATGTTTAAAATAAGGCTTAAAAACGTTAGAGCAAAAAAATTACTGACTTTTATTTGCATTTTTATACTGTTTGAAAAAAAAAAACTAATAAAAAAGAATTAACTAATAATATATTAATTAATAATTATATATTAATTCTTTTTTATTAGTTTTTTTTTTTCAAACAGTATAAAAATGCAAATAAAAGTCAGTAATTTTTTTGCTCTAACGTTTTTAAGCCTTATTTTAAACATGAGGTTTTGATAAACAAAGATAAAAACCAACTTTTCAACTTTTCGCTTTAACGACCTTGTAAAAATATTCCACGCAGAGATTTAAAGTAATTTAAATTTAAAAATGTTTTACATTGCTAGAAAATCTCTGCGCGAAAGAGCAAATCATCTATTCAGAATAATAACTTTTTGTGTGACGTTCTTTATGATAAAAACATTACTTTTAAGAATTGCTAAAAAAAATGCTA